TCAACACGACCCACAATTCAATAAGCCAGAGAATCAATGTTACACTTGAAAAGCTTCTCTCTTAACAAATGATATAAATACAACGAAGTATTAAGAGATAAGTAGGCACAACACCTCAATAGATCACAAAGAATATAGCTCACGTATTGTGCGAAAGACTTTTATCAAGATATATGATTTTTACAAAGTTACTTACTCAAAACCTTTTTCAACAAAAATATTTTGACCTCTTAAAGATTGAGAAATAAGGTAGATGAGATTAATAAGTAGCTTTCTTTAATGCTCTAAAATTCACTCAATTAGGAAGGTAAAAAGAAAGGTATTTATAGCCATCAATCGGGAGATCCAGACACGTGATTCGGACGTCATCTTGGTATCCGGACGAGTAACTAGCCGTTTGTCAAACGGTTAAAAAATTTGATCGTTGGACATTTCATTCGGACGTCCGGATGGCCTTGTTTAATTTTTTTTTTTTCATTTCTTGAAGAAAGTTTCTTTAAAAATATTTTTTAACGGTTTTGTTATATACTTTTTATAGATAAGTAATGTCATAAAGGTTTGATTGTGAAAATTGAATTACTTATCTTTTTGAAAAATAATTTTTATGCAAGTCAGGTTTGTTATGATAATTCTCGTGCATGAAGGTTGTTTGAGCTATGATCTATGCGAAATACTAAAGTGTTTTACCTTTACACTTGAGTATACAAATGCATCTATAGCTAATGTCTTCAATTTCTTCATCCAATGCAATTTGGTGTGTGAGAGCTCGATTTTCATTTCCTTGTTCGTAAATCTTGTATGTATATCGTTTTGCACCAATGTTGCATGATTCTCGAACTAAATCTTTTTGTGTCATAAATTTGCAATAATCACTGTCAATCACTTAAATTCAATTTGTTAGAATCAAACGCAATTTGTTTGTAATAATCAAAATAAAAAGTCAACCATTAAGTCAACAATATTCACAAAATGAAGGATCCAATCTAGCTCTCATATTTTGAGTTAATGATAGTTGTGTAAAGTACTGCCACAAATATGAAATTACTAAACTTGCTTTCATAATATCATCTTTTGTTCCTCTTTGTACCACTGGCAAAACTAAACGAAAATCCCCTCCACACACAATGACCTTTCCACCAAATGGCAATTCACATTTAGTAATATCTTTTAACATTTTATCCAAAGTTTCAAAAGCATATTTATTAACCATTGGTGCTTCATTCCACACAATTAGTTTCGTCATTTTTAAAAGTTGACCAAGTACAGATTGTTTACCTACCGAACATCGCATATCAAGACTTGTTTGAAGAGGAATTTTAAAACGCAAATGATCAGTTCTTCCAGTAGGTAATAAAGAAGCAGATACTCCAGATGATGCTGTTGTCAATGCAATGAGTTGTCTGCATCGTACTGTAGCAAGCAATGCTTTGTACAAATAAGTTTCACCAGTACCTCCTGGACCATCAATAAAAAAAGTCAATTTCTATCGTTGAAAATACAATCTAAAATAGTATCATAAGCAAATTATTGTTCTTTATTTAAACACTTTGTAAAATGCATGTCAGACTCAACATTAACATTTGCAATTTCTTCTAAAATCATATTTACTAACATGTCGGCGTTATTTATAGTAATGTCAAAATTTGTGAAGTAAAAATCATTTATACTTTTACCAACAACTTCTAAGAATGAATTTATGCACCGTAGATCTCTAATCTCAGCATCGTATTTTGTCTAACTTGTATGTAAAAAATCTTCTATCATGTAAGCTATAGATTTAATCCATAAATTTCTAGGATTTGTAGGGGCACAAAAAACCAGCACATTAGCAAAAAGTCGATGGAGTGATATAGGCAATTGATAAGAAATTGCCTTAGTTAAACACATGTCATAATAATTATTTCCACTTATTTGACCATGTAAGAATGCAGACTGGCGATAGGTAAGTGCTACAACACTATTAACTGTTTTTAAATCTTCAAAAAATTTGGATCCTTTAATATGATTCAGTAAAACTCTTAAAAAGTATATCTCACCCTCAGATGGATTATCAGCAACTATTCTACTAATAACATTTTGCTTTTTTCTAGGATTCAAAACTCGCAAATATGTATTCCATACAAAATATGCAGAAAAATCTTTATAAAGTAAAGTCTGAGCCTTTTTATCAGAAATATTCATTCGAAAAAAATTCAGTTAACATTGTTCGTTGGATAAAGTCTTTATTTATAACTTCTGATAAATCATCAGTTTCATTGTATGTAACTAATTGAGAATTTTTAACATATAACTGCAAAGAAATTACAGAAGGAGATATGTTAAATAAATTAAAACTAAAAATTCTCCAAATAACTTCTGGCGTAGATATCCATCTAGCAGTTTGGTAATTTGAAATTTCATCAATATAATATTCATTGATTTCTTTATTCACAACAAAATTAATATGATCATGTCCTTTGTATACATATTTATATAAATATTTCACAACATTAACAGAAGAACATATTTCTACATTAATATGATAATCATATTTAGCTAAATATACAGATTGTATGGTACAACTCATCTATTGTCTAACATGCATTTTCGGACTCTAACAGTAACACCATCGTTACGACGTCTAAGGAAGTATGTAAAATATATTCTTTTGGATATTTATTTCTACAAGTATGATTGTTTTCCATGCAAACATTTGTAGGATTTAATTATTGACAAGCACTATGCATCATATGTTTGATCACAATAGCATGCATGTAAGGATTTTTCTTTTCATCTGGTATTTTACATGAAACAATTTCATCAACTGCATAGAATTAGTAATTTTAAAATTTGGTTTAAATATAAGATGAAAATGAACATGAGGCAGACCTTTTTTTGGAATTCAATCATATAAACATAAGCAACTACAGGCCTTAGAATTTTCCTCTTTAATAAATCTATTTGTAGTTCCTCAAACTTAGCTCGAAATATTCGTGCTAACAAGTTTGGCCTATTTTGTATTTCATCATTATGTCTCAATTCTTGTTTAATTTCATGCCAATTTGGATTGCATGTCATAGTTAAAAATACATCGAGTTTTTCATATCTTTGAACTAAAGACATTGCATCCATATATCTTTTAATTAAATTTCTATGACCTCCAATAAACCCTGTTGGTAATACTATTAATTTATCAATCTTATAGCCTCTATTCTCACCAATTTGTACACTATCTATAATTTCTTGGTAAAGTTTCGCTCTTATAATCTGTTGATTATTTCGAAAATAGTTTAATCTTGTAGTTTCAATTTTAACATGCATATCAGCTATATATTGTTGCAGAAGTATGCCTGTATGAAGAAATATAGACTTATCTAAAAGCTTCACTGGAAATATGTTGCAATAATATTCGCGACAGGATATACTCATTCATTTTCTCATTTTCGTCAAAACTGAAAAGAAATATGAAGAAAATTTTTTCAGAAGGACAATATAATTATATACTCTTTTCTTACATATAAAACAATTTCACAAATGATAAAACTTACCATGATCTTCCATTTCCAAAAATTGTTCAGCAGAGTGAATGTTATTAATTTGTATGAAATTTTCATCCATGAGTGAAGAGGTATTCAAATTGACTTTTTGGATACCTTCATTCCATCCAAGTTCTCCATAGGCAAATATTAATAGATACTGAAGTGGATCATAGCAGCCATAATAGTAATTTACTTTATGCGTAGTGTTAAAATATCCATAAATTAATATATCACGATTTTGAAAGCTTATAGATGGGTCTTCATCAACCCATACTGCGACCACCTGCTCACACGATAGCATATTATACAGTCTTTGGTAAGACCTGGATCACACCTAAGCACAATATGACATGAACCAAAATCAGAAATTTCACTTAACGATCGAAAAGTCGACAATATGGATTCATCTTTAAGACATCTATCAATTTTTTCAAAATTGTTTCACATAACCTGTCGGAATTTTTTAGTCTATTAGTGATTTCATTATCAGTATCATAGAAATATAACTGTAAATATGCTGATTTCCTATCAGTTGGTAACAATGGATTTATAAAATGGTACACTTGTCCTTGAACTCAAAGTGTATATATATCTTTATTATTTCTACACAATTTTTTATCATATTTAACGCCAAAAGAAGTTAAAGCAAAATAATTGTTATAACAATGAGCAACTTTTTTAAAAGCAACTGCCTAACATAAAGTAAAAGTAAACAGCTCAAACAATTCAGAAGGAACATTATTTAACTGTAATCTAACTTTTCCATCACAACAACAAAAGCCCTTACTTTCTTTATGAAACTTTTTTGCATCACAATATTAACAAATTGTACGTGATAGAAGAATGTAAGGTTTGGTCGGAATATCTCGTAGATTTATTCGTTTGGAATCAACTCTTTTAGAATCATGTAAAATGTTAGGAATTTTTTATGTTTCATTTTCATTTTCAGAGTCTTTTTCAAGACAAATGCTTTCATCATTTTATAACTCAATACAATCATCAATAGAACCTAAAAATATAAAAATAAGATTGATAAAATATAACACAAACAATTCTAAAAAAAAAAAAGGAAAAACACAAGTAAATGAACATAAAAAAAAAACCTGTTTCAAACTCACGACACATAGTTTGCCTTTCTGGTGCATAACTTGTAGTGACTTCCAGAATACCAAATATGTATGTTAAAATTATGTAAAAAAGGGAATGAAAAAAATCAACAAAAAATGATATTTCAACAAATAATCATACCTAAAACCCTTTTATGCAAATTGTCTTCTTTTACCATTGGCTGAAGTTCAGAATCTTGTGTTTGTGTGGACGGTGTTCTTGAATGAGCACGTTTATTCTTAAACCAGTTATAAACACTCTTATCACAAATTTGGCCATGTAACGACAACTCAAAGACTATTTGTGCAATTTTTAATTTGTTTGAAGTTGTGTTGCCTTGATAAAATATAAATTCAAGAATTTGGAGTTGGGGAAATGCAGGTGTCCATCTACTCATTACACTATGAAAGCAAGCAAGTTATGATAATAAGTAAGTCAACTACAAGATATGCAAATCCTCAAACTTAAAATAGAGAAATTAATAAAATATACTATACTGACGAGGAAAATAAATAAAAAAATATTATTATTATACTAACTCCGAGAAATATAGACTATCTATAACTATGCATAGACAAGCCACCATGCTTCAACTATTTATCAAAGTGTGCATAGACATCATATTTCAATTACTTATTTAGCAAAATGTTCAGTGAAAGCATGCCTAATGAATAAAAACAAATATAATAGAGAAAAATCTAATTATCATTCACCTGCAGCAAAAATTGGGAGGAAGAGTTAGTTTATGTGTTTTTTTCACGTTATATAACATATATATATTAGCAAGAAATCATCTAAATTTTTTTGACGAGATTAGGTAATTTGAGATAGATGTTTTTAGTTTTATTTGATTCGATGAGGTTTATGCATGAATTTGATAATCAAGTTCTTGTTCTTGCACTATTTTGTTTGGCAAAAGAAATTCATAATTGATTAGTGGGAGGTATTGCTTTGTTATCTGGGAAATGAAACAACCTAAAAACTCCGGTTGCTTTTACTTGGCTACTCTATGCAAGGTCGTTACATCCAAGCACGGAGTCCATTACATCCGTGCACGGAGGCTGAGGCCATTACCTTCGTACATGGAGGCTACACGGAGGCCAATTTTTTTTCCTTTTAAAATGTTTTTGGGAATAATAAGAAGATAGTCTTTTCGGTAAAAATTTGTCTATTCTACCACCCGTGAATCTCTTGTCAAATCTAATTCAAAAAGCAAAGTACACTTTTTTTTTTGCTTAAATACCTTCATTTTTCACCAGATTTTTCTTTCATTCAATTCACCCATACTTCAAATATTCCACATAACAAATAATAATTTTATCATAAAATGGATTTTTCACGTAGTTTCTTCAGAATCATCACCCCTTTCTTGAATCACAATATTCGTCTGCTTAGTGCTTCTTTGACATTTTAATATATGTTTTATCACATGCTTATGTTTTTATTGTTTTTATATGTATATATAATATAGATGCTTCCTACATCTTTTATCAATGACTGGAGGCAACAACTTGGTGATACAATACAAGTAACTGCATATGATGGCATAATTGTCACCATCAAATTAGAAAGAGTGGGTAGAAAAATATACCTAGCCGATGGATGGGAACAATTTTTCGACCATCATAATTTACAGGATGGTTATGTTTTAGTATTCAAATATAACGGTAATTCCACACTGAACATGACTATATTTGACCATTCTGGACTAGAGGTTACATAGGATTCTCATGAAGAAGGCCAAGAAGGAAACACTTCAGATAATCCCATATTTGAAATAATACTAACACCTCGTCTTAATAGCCACCGGAATATATATATCCCATTTTGACCATTCTACATAATTTTTGAGTTGAAATTTTTTATCACTACAGTATATACCAAGAAGTTTTGCCCGACAGCACTTGTCGAAATTTGTGCGCAACATTCAGAGCTACGATTCTCTGCATCACAATTGGGACATTACCACAAATTTAAGACCAAGTGGTGTAATAAGATGTCTTACTATAGGTTGGACTGATTTTGTTACAGAAAAACAATTACAAATGGGCGATAGATACGTCTTCCAGCTAATTAACAACGAAACCCCAATGTTTATGGTCTACAAAAAAGACCACACTGGAAATTTGACACATCTATAAAACTTTTAACTTGTTGTAACTTTTGCTTATGCTAATCTACTTTACGTTCACATGCATTATATATATTCATGGCAATTAATATAAAACCAATTCCACCAATTTCAAAGTTTGAAACTTTCAAACCTCAACAAATTCATCAAAAATCTGCACGTGGAAAATAATACACAAATAATAAAAGCACGAGAAAAAAAAAGTGATTTTATGCACAAACAAAAAGAATAAAATAGGTAATAAAAAAAAGAACAATAACACATGAAACTCCAGATATAAAAATAAAAAGAGATATAAAAAGAGAAGAAGAAACATTTTTGTGAAAATATATAATAAAAAAATATAAAAGAAAGTTATGAAAATTAAATAAAGAATAGTATAAATACAATCTAGTTAAAATTGAAAAATTAAATTTTATTATGAAGAAAATAAAAATGTCTTCACATTCCCCTTTTCATATAGTAGGGATAATAAAAAAAAAGAAAAAAAGATTATGAAGGGGTGACGTTCCTTGTTCCCATCCCCGATTACCTTGTGGATGGAACAAATTATTATTGACACATCCCCTTAAAAGCTAAGCAGTAATATAACATGTTCAAATAAATTTAAAAATAAATATTTTACATACTTTTAAGTTTAGTCGAACGTGCTATTAAAATTTTGAGACAATCCAATGCACATTCCGAGTTTTGACAATATCGGATTCACTTTCTCACCTTTTAAAAATATCACTAACCTTCCTAGTTATAATTTTGAGTACTGCATCCACTTTCTAGTCGCTTCTTGAATCATATAGATGATATATCCAAAAAATCTCATGAATAAAGATGTGAAGTTTTCTACAATTAGTTGTAGTTAATTTCCTCATACTGAAAGGTGAAAATATAGATTAACATGTTATACGTAGAGCCCATTCGACGTAATTTAAATTTTAAATCATATATAATATTATTGAACAAAATAATTATTTATAGTATATTAAATATCAAATAATCAAAATTGATATTATGATAATATTTTAAAATATTTTAATGATTAATATACCATATTTGGTCCTTGTCAATCCACATTATTTTCAAAAATACATTTTTATCTCTTTTCTTTTCAATCACATGAATTTCAATAAAATAATATTAGATGCAAATTCAAAAAAAAAAAATTATTTTTTGACCACACATTATCCATCAATCATTATTTTAGAATGCATTCTTAAAAGAAAATGGAGCTCAAACATGCTCTTGATCTCGTATCTAGTTTATAAGGGTTTTGCAAGAATGACAGTGCCCCATTGGCATGGCACCACACGCGCCTCGTGGAGTGATAGGGCTCATGTGCCCTGGACAAATAGCAAAACCCAGTTTATAAATTTACAAATATGAATATTTTATTGATAAGTCTACATTTAGTAATCTTCAAATTATGTAATATATATATATATATATATATAAGAACTTTAAATAATTTGTTATCAAGTTCTTCAACGACATTTGAAGTTTAATTTTTTATTAACATGCATATTCAAATTATTTATGGGCAGAATCATTAAATATTAATTTATTATGAAGGGAATCAAATATCACAACTAACTGAAAATACTTCATCTCTTTCTTTAGAAGGACATTTTAAATATATCGACTTTGTTTAAATGCTATGTGTCCTAAAAAGTGCAGAAGGTGTACGTGATGCTAAAAAAAATTGAAAAAATTAAAACAAAAGCCAATAATCATACGTACAATGCATGGAGAAAGTATATATAATTTGATCTTATGAAACCCTACTTTTATAACCCTTGTGTGTGAAAAGAAGAGCAGATAAAAATAAAAAATAAAAAATAAAAATCAAGAACTACAATAGAATTCATTCAATAAAATTTAAGCAGCATAAAAGTCATCACGGGTGTGTTTGATTGTAAGTATGGAATTTGTGTCGAAAGTAAATAAGTTTTAGGCATGGAAATTATTAATTAAATGTGTGTGATTGATTTAATTTTACATATAAAATATTATATTTGTCTATCTTTTATTGATGGTGATAAGATATACATGTAAATGTGGGTGTGTGTGAGAGAGGGGGATAATTGCCTGAAAAATAAAAACATACCCCTCTTCAAAGAAAATTTTTTCCTTGTTTTTGAAGAAAATATGGTTATGTGACTAACATTTGGAAAATATTTTTTCCGACAAAATAAGTCAATTAAATACCTTAATAATATGTACCTGAACAAAAAAAAGGACGTATTCATGAAAAATAAAGTCAATTAAACACGTCTGAAAAGAAATCATTTCACGTCAATAAAAGAGAAAACTAGAAATAGTATTGGTTTCCATATATCCAATAACTTGTTAAAAACGCTCTACTCACTCTCATTCAATAGCGATTTCTTCTTAATATAGATAGCATGAATTCGATTTAGATCCTTATTAAAAATTAAAGAAAAATAATTGATAACACCAACAGGTTTTCTATATTCAATCAAAAATCGAAGCACCACTAGTGTTTGTCAATGATAACATCAATGACATTGCTAACTATAATTATTAACTCGTGTGCATAGATGATAATTGCACGAGTGAATAATTGATGGTATTTCTGTAAGCAGCTTTGTTCAAATCATAGACATTGATTTTCATCAGAATCATCAATAATGATATCATTGGAATCATCAGTGGTTGTATAATTATTTTTATATTTATCTTGATGAAATCTTTTTTTTGTCCAACCTTGTTATAATCTCTATCCTGATCATGTTTTTGCATATATTGAAAACAAAAAGATGTATTACTATGCAATTTGTGATATATTTTTATATTGTGAAGGTACACTTCATGATTCTATATTTTCCATTCCATTAAATTTGGAATGCATCCTCTTAGGATCTGGAGTGACCACTAAGATTCCAAGTTCTAATAACAATCAAGTTTGATGTCTTTGATACATAATTCTCTTTCCATGGTTATGGTCGTACTGGTATTAACATGTTAGTCAGTGTTTCATCGACTTCATTAAGCATTTGCGTATCTATCATAAGTTCTTAGATCTACAACTTTTATACTTTTACAATAACAGATCTCTTTTAGGCTCGTCTCCCAAATACAAGATAACTATTGCTATGATGACAACCCACTCCTTGTTGCTTGTAGCATTTCAGTCGAAAAGTAGCCTACTCAAGTTGATGGCTAGGTCCTCAAGGTACCCTAGGTGATTATTAAAAGGTTAAACTCTAACCTTAAGGGTCCCCCACCACCCCTGCCCTGGAGTATCGTGAGGGAGGTAAATCGCAGGTTATGCTTCCAAGGGTACAGGGTGAAAGGCTGCTTGTACACTTGCACTTACCCAAGAGCCAAATCCATATTTCAGGATTCGAACCTTTGACCCAGCAGCTTCAAGCAAAGCTGGATTTCTCCACCCTCCTCTTTTACCACTTGGAGATATACCCTAGGTGATTATTGACCAGTCTTTTGATGGATCTTGGGCAAGTTCTTTTACATTGCACATTTACAATTGTTCTTCTGCTTGCAGTTAAAGGTTGGTAGAGATGAAGATTGCTTTCCTTATAATAGTCGGTTGAACTTCAATAACAAGTTACCGTCTTCTGTATTCTAAAACGGAAATTAAAACCCCATTTGATTCTCATTTTTATTAAAATATATTTTTCACTCATTTCTTTTTAATCGCACATTTTTCATTATAATAATATCACACTCGAATAAAAAAAAAATCCTTATTTATCATCCACAAATTCTCCATCAATTTACCATTCAAAAATTCATTTTTCTATGAAAATGGTGTCAAACACCCTCTGAATTTGTTTTGATAGGGAAAGGCATAAAAGGGATAAGATATAGAGATCGGTATTTGTAGTCCATATTCTATTTTGCTTAATTTTAGAAATTTACTTCCTGTGTGGACAATAGTTATATTTTCTAACTTATCAATTGACCATTCTAAATCCTCTGTTGAAGAAACTTCATAGAGCCACATGGATAGATAGCTGGCAATTGTCAAACTTCTCTTCAAGTTGTGATATAAGCTATATTTTACAAAGTTGAATGGAATAAAAATCAGTTTTATTTCTCTTAATTTCTTTAGCAACCCTTTTGTTGCTTTTTGATTTTGATATATGCCTAAAGTTGTATTAAATCTGTTCATCGGTAAATAAAGTTAGTTGACTTTGTCGAGTAGGCAACAAATCCAACTACCAAAAATGCTAATCCATTATGATGCAAATTATAAATTTTTTTTTCTTGAAAATCGATCGAAGGACGAAAATAATGTTAATACGAAATCATGTTATGAGAGTAACGCAATGGTCTTACTTCTAGAGGAAGAAAAAAATTTGGAAACACCATTTCCATAAGAACTAAAAATCAAATTTTCAAAGCAAAAGTTCCTTTTTGGTGCAAGTTAAATGTTTTACAAAACTTTATATTCAGTATTTATCCATTTTCACACGCATCTTCACTTCATCCACACAGTCATTTCAACAACTTCTCATTTCTTCTTCTCCGTGCCTTCTTTATCCAATTTTTTATCTCAAAAATATACCTTCACTTAAATCTTAGTGATTTTTGGGTTATGACTTTAAACCTCTTTATAATCTCAAAGTAAGCCCCACGCAAACATGTTCCTATGGTATTTGGATTAACTAATCTAGTGATGACAATGGAACGGGTCCCTGCCCCGTCCCGCCTTAGACGGGGGCGGGGCTCGGGCCGGTTTGCTGCCCCTTTTTTTTTATCTTCTTCAAAATTTCACAGATAATAATAGAAAAAACATATTCGGCAAACCAATCAAGCAATCTATAAACAGATGAAGTCTAATATGCATATCTACTATCACATGGTCGAGGAACGAAAAGAGGAAAACAGAGAAAATAGTTAAAAACCAAAACACCAAAAAGATCAAACACTAAACAAGCACGTAGTCCGAACCGAAGCACTTGGAGTAGAGCATATTTAGGTCAGAGAAGTCAACTTCTGTTTTGGATAAAAAAAAAAAAAAAAAAAAATTAGCAAAGAAAATATAGAAATATTTTGCCAAGAAAAACAATGCATCGCAATTCTCAGGAAATAAGAATCCCAAATTCCCAATTGAATTTAATTGAACAGAAATCTTAAGAAATGGTAGATAATTGAAAGTTTAGGGGAAATCGTAGAAAAAAAATACTCCAAAACTTCAGATATAATAAAATTATACAGAGTATTATCTTTGTGATTTAAAAATGCCTATTACTGCATCCTACCCACACAGTTTTGTGCTGGCCAAACTGAAGCTTTTGTAGAACAAATAAAAGTAAAAATAATAAAACAAATGTGCTTCTGTTGACGCCGGGAAATTCAGATCTACATCAATCAGAAAGGGAGTCGGCGAGTGAGAGAAAGGCGGCGGGCGTGAGACTCTGAGAGGCAGAGACTAGAGAGGAAATGGAAGTGGAAAGTCGAAAACATTAGGGGTGTTCTCTTTGTGTTTCAGTTTTGTGTTTTGAGTTTTAAATTCGTTTTGAGTTTTATGTTTTGAGTGTTTGTTTTGAAATTGTTGAAAATGCGTTCTTTTTGTTAGTTTCTCAAAATAAAAAAAAATGAATTTTTTTTTTTTTGAAATTTTGAGAATCACCATACCATCTCCGGAAAAAAAAAAAAAGGTCTTTCCCGCGTTTTCAGTTTTTTCAAGTTTTACACTGAAAACGCCCAAAACGTCGTTTTGTGTTTTCTTCACAAATTTTTTTTTTTCGTTTTCGAAAATTCGTTTTCGAAAACGGGAAAGAGAACACGTTTTCACCGTTTTGAAAAATCGAAAACAGAAAACGGCCCGAAAACGGTAAAGAGAACAGGGCCTTAGGGTTGCATTTTGTTTGTGAATCGCGACTGTGGTGCGTCTGTGATTTGCTGCCATTTTGCCTTTTGTAATTTCTTTTATTTATTTCATGGGGCGGGTTCGAGGTGGGGCCGGTGACTTAAGACGGGGCAGCCTGTCAACTCGACTCGACAGGACAAGGCAAATTGTCATTCCTAAGCTAATCTTATATTTACTCTTCAAAGCAACTGTTTGTGGTTGATAGTTCTCAACATATTGTACATAAGTTAATGATAGAACAACATAAGCTGTCAATAGGTAGATTTAACAAAGTTTAGATCTCAAAAATTATAGCTCAAACGACTAGGTATATATATACTCAATAATCTCAAAGGCTGCTATAAAAAGAGTATGAAATGATTTTTTTTCTCCTTCACGGTTTAGCTGATCTTTATTCTTTTTCACTTTCTTAGAATATGACTCACACGTATGACGTATGCCAACTTTTCTCCTTTCTTCTCTCTTCACTCGTCATAAAATCAGCTACACTACTTGCCTTTGATATCGCCTATTCATTTTTTTGAACAGAAGTTGGCCCAAATTGTCCCTAACTTACAGGGTTGCTACGTAAGTTATGGTGGACCTGAATCCATGGGATAGATGCGTAATTTTTCAAAATGATTGAAAACCCTAAGAGTGAGAAAAGATTTATGAAAAACAAAGTAGAATTTATTTTATTTATTTTTCTTTTTTTGGCAAAATTGTAAGGTTTGTTGTTGAAGAAGATGAAGAAAAAAAATCCACTGCAAAGTTTCAAAAGACTTACCATGTGGACTAACTTCATTTTTATGTTCCAATTTCCACTTTTTTAAGGTATCACACTTTTTTATTGTTTACATTGTGTTATATCTTCTTGCATAAATTTTTTTCCATTTGCAGGTTTTTGTATTCGAGTATTGGATCCTTATTCCTGCTCATTTGGTCCTAGCCAGTGCCATCAACAATGAGACAATCTTGACTGTGGATGAGAGTCTCTTTAGTGTTGAAAATTTGCATCATCTCACAATGAAAAAGTTGTTAATTTCTTATTTTTTATGAATCTGTCTTACTAATTTAATGCCCTGGAAAATGCATCATTTGGTATAATTGTTCTCTTTGTATTGTGGTGGCATACCGCCCACTTGTAAGTGTTTCATTTTCTTCAATTCAACCTTTTTATCTTATGATAGTCGTGGAATTCTATTCCTATACACCAACTGCAAAAAGTCATGCTTATATAATGTTTAATTTGATGAATGCCTGAAATTCTTAAAATCTACCATCAATGACATTAGCCAGAAGAGATCTCAAGGATACATGGTCTTATAAAGTGAATTTTACTTTATAGGTTTTCACTATTCTATATCCAATCAAATTTCCATACAAAAAGCATTTCCCTATCACATTGGTGAAATGCTTTCGAATTAATACTAACTACATCCTTAAAAAATACCACCATCCTGGGTATTGAAGAAGAGGTTAAATTCGTACTTTAATAGCCTGTTGTTCGCTTGTTTTTCCCATTTTAAAACAAATACTATCTTGCATTCCTGGGCTATTTTCTGCCATATTAACACCCTCAAAGGCATCATCATCTTTGGTTAACTCAATTTCTTCTTCACAATTCTGTGTTTCGTCCTTCAACTTAGGTTCAAGAGGCAATTTATCATGGTGGTTCTCTCGTGAAATTTAAATTGGGTTTTACCAACTTGAGAAGAATGCCTAGAGGTTGCAGTTGAAAAAATTGGATTACTAAAACATCAGGTACAAATATATATATATATATATATATATATATATTATTTATTATTTTTTTTCTTTTTAGTATGTACTTTATTGTTTTCCTATGAATACATTGGGATCTATAATTTCACACCATATTTTATGCACTACAACTTTAGGATTCAAAGTTGATAAGATATTACACAAATGGAATGAGATGTATGATGCTCATAGGTAGCAAACTTGTTCTACATCTTTTTGCCTATAACAACTAATCAATAACTGATAGAAGGCTACCATTGGAGTTAGTTTCTTGACAAAGGAGGTGCAGTTCGAAAATCGACTCTTTAATTTACAGGTTTGAGTAAACTCATTTGTTTTGCTCTAGAATACCATCCGTAGACAATAATTTATGATTGTTGATTGTAAAGCCCCAACATCTATATATATATATATATTTTTTTTTTAAATAGACTTGAAGTGTTATTAAAAATCCTCTTCATAATTTAAGCAAAATCTACTTTTATTCAAAATTTGAAATTTGTTCAGTAAGTCGATAATTATAAACCAACAATTCAAGTGAAAAGTTTTCACATCAAATAAAATCTTAAAGTATTACGACTTCACACCATCAATTCGAATTTAACATAAAATGTCAAATGTTCAAATACAAGAAAAACTAGTAAATATTGTGCACAAAATTTAACATAAAGATGTTCTTCAACAAATAAAGGAAATTTGCAAATTTTCATCCTTAGAAATTTTACTTGACGACTCCATAAGCATCACTCGGTTAATCTGCCACACGCCTACATAATTCGTTCTAATCTGAAAAATTATTATAATAATGAGTATTTTGAAAAACACTCAATAAAAAATACTTGCATATTCTTATTAACATGATATAAATATAAAATGACATGACATACCGACATTTTTTAGATTTAGAGTAAACCGATCGCGATATCAAATAGCTGAAAGAATTTCATAAAAATTTTTAGTAGAATTTACATATTTGACAAAACGATCAGTCTAGTAAGATTTAACATATTCAACCTAACGGTCCATTCCAAAAAAATTAACATAAAAATTGACTCGAAGACCGAGAGTATTTCGTGTGAAAATCTATAAAAATATCGAGAAAATAAGAATTTACCACTTGCACAAAGTATTCTTACCTTAACTAATACTCTACGAAATCTAAAGATGCAAATGATTAAGCTGCATATTTTTCTAAATAGTGTACGTGTGAAGTAAGATTGCAAAGAATGAAATGGTGTAAATTTTTGTTTTAAATGGAAATAACATCCTATTTATGGGGCTGTCTGGTCACGCTTTTAAGCATAATCTGGACCATTGGTAATTGGAAATTACATCGTTGGACAATTAAAGTATGAGATATGTCTGACACGAAGCCAGTCCAACAACGGGTATTTTTTCATTGCTTTTCCAACATTACCATTTCATTAAACACTCAACCAACCAACACCATTTATCTCTCTCTCTCTCTCTCTTCACCATCACAGAATATTTATTTTCTCTTCCCACCACAACCAGCCGACGATGTTGTTCGAGATTCGGTCGCTATTATTTTCCTCCGTCAACTAGCGTTTTCCATAGCACGTAGTTAGTTTCTCCTTCTGACTGGGAGTTTGTTTCCTCGTTGATGACGATTTTTGTTGTACAACTCAGACGACGATGGCACCTATCCGCTAGTTCCATCTTTGATCGCTCACACCATGGATCCATATGTCTCCCCAGTAAGTGACGCCGATTCCATCTTCTTCTTTTTTTGCACGGGCAGATCATAAAGGCTCTGCCTGCCTCCAATTTTGTATGAAAAATTTGATGTTTCTCGTTTGTTTTTGCAAAGGGGTGATAACGTACCGAATTCGTCCACCTCCAAAACTCTTCCCAGCCAGACCTAAGCTGCGCGCAAGAACGTTCACTGGAATCGACATGAGAACCAAATTTTCATTGCCGCTTGTGAGAAGGTGATCGCTGACGGTCACCGTAATGGAAAGTATTTCACGAAACAAGGATGGGATCAAGTCATCCAGCTGTTCAACTCCAACTCCGGTCATTGTTGGACGAAGCAGCAGCTTAAGAATCATTGGGACGGTCTTCGGATGAAGTACAAACATCTGCGCGAGTTGCTGAACAGCACTGGTGTCGAGTATATCTCCCATACGGGAACAATTAATGGACCCGACGAGTGGTGGGAGAGAAAGATTCAGGTACACTACAATTTACCTTCATGGTTTCCGGATCATTGTTTCTGTGTGTTATGGTAAATATTTATGGTTTTGAGTTTATATATTCTTTCTCCTTTATTGATGATTTGAAGCTGGATTCCATTTTTGATGTGCCGAAGCCGAATTCTAGAGCCTGATTTTGTGTTGTTGATATGTCACACAATTAAGGGAATAGGTGTAAATGTATGGTTACAGAATTGGGTTTATCGATAGGAACTCACCACTAACAATGAAAAGTATAGTTTTGTAAATCTGACACAATGGTTGTTCAATCCTTAGCTTCCAAAGTTGAGTAAAGCAAGTGTGTTCCTACTGTTTTTAGGTTATTATTCCGGAAATGATTTTCATAGAGCTGCTTCAATTTTCTCTCATTGGACTACTCATTCCAAGTTACGCATAATAAATGAAATGTAGTAGGTGGAGTTTGCTAAAAACCTTGTAGTCTTTCCTGAAAACCATCAAAGGTTTGTTCGCCTTGATTTTCTGCCATTCCGTAAATGACCGACTTTTGTTAGGTTTATGTTAGATTACAAGCAGTGGCAAAAAAACATTTTTTATATGATTACGACTACTTGGAGCTAGACGCATATATATGATACATCAATATATACAAAGATTTGTCTGGTCGAAGCCAACTGAAATAGATTATCTCATATGTATTGTCCGCCTCTCTTTTATGTTGTTCCTTTGCATCACTGTGTAATTTTAAATAACAGCAGTCTTGACATGACATCTTATAGCGTATAGGAGTAGACATTGGATAATACATGAATCATAAATAGAACTCATTGGACATTTTAATGACATTTGTCTCTTCGACATCGATGTTTTCTTATGAATCCGTGTCGTTGGATGATGTTCACGTTTCTTTTACACTATATTGAAATCATGGCGCACTTGTAATCGTTTCTTCTGACATTCCCCTTCTACTTCTGAATGTGTAACAGGAAAACAAGGATTATAGAGAATTCAGAGACAAAGACTGCAGAGAGGTGTACAGCTACAAAGTGCTGCTCGAGGACGCCTACGACAGCGATAAGTATGCGATAACACCCTCGACCATGTGCAAGACAAGCTTCTCCATGTTCGAAGATAGTCGACACGAGGACCTGCAGGATAGTCAGCCGCTCGACGAGGAGGGCAGTGCGTCAAGTGATTAGGGCGAGAGGACATATCCTGTCGCGTCCAGCATCGACGTCTCAAGGCCGCAAAGTGGTGACAAACGTACGCATGGCGGTAGGAACAAAAAGGAGAAGAGAGCAAAAGTTTCCGCGACGAGCTTATCAGACTCTGTTAACCTTGCTATCGCTGCAAGTGCAAAAATAGCAGCTAAAATCAACAGCCTGGTCAGTCCCGATGTGCCGGACGCGAACACGCTCATGAAAGAGTACGGGCCGATTGTAGAAAAAACTGATATGTACTTTTGGATGTTGACGTTCTTATCACAGAGGCCGAACAGGGAGATACTTGCAATGCAAGAAGATGCGAATGACAAATTAGACTAGGTCGAGTGGAGGCAGGAGTAAAGGCAAGCCCACCCGAAGTGAAAGCTGTTGCTCGGTCAGTTTTCCCATTAACGCCGTATTATGTACCGTTTGTTCTGGTTTTTTTCCTTTTTCTTTTTATGTGCCATGTGTATGACTACTGTGTTGTAATGTACTATTGTACTAATATCTTTTAGCTTTTTTGCAAATGTCCTGTTATATTCAAACTTCTATGTCACTATTTATGTTGCATGCCTACTGTCATGTTTCTTGGACATTACAATTTTATCAAATAGTACAGCTAACATGGACTGACCATCAAATACTAAAATGTCAATCACTTGATAAGTGAGTATTTTTTTGTCATGCCATGCGGGCAACTTTTTTATGCTGATGACTACATTTTTGTGGAGGAGCATCTATAAAAGAGAACATGCAACCAATCCATTGCATGCTAATAAGTGAGCTTGCAAGGAAGGCAATTGGGGTATTCTACTTCTTCTGCTTCAACTTGAACCACAAAATGCAATATCTTTGCAAACAGAGTGGAATGGCGGTCTTTGATTTCAACCGTGTACTTCTAAATTATTCTGATGCTGAAGCCGAGGTCGGGGAACTTGAATTCTTGCAAGAGCTTCAAGAGGACGTTGTCCAGTGGTTTCAATACTGTCGAATGTTCGCAGTAGATGCGGCGACCTACTATCGCGAATAGAGACGTTGAATTAGAAGATTCCCATTCGCGAGGAACGGACACATGTTCATGTTAGGATGTATCCTGTTATGCTTCGTACGTTCACGCATATACTTCGTGACGAATACGGACTGCGTAGTGCGCAACAAGTTGATGTATATGAACAAGTTGGGATGTTTTTGTGCATATTAGCGCACGAAAAAGGCTATAGATAGGTTCGAACGTTATTCAATCATTCGTTGGAAACTATTGGGCACTACTTCAAAATAGTACTTTGAGTTGCTTGCAAATTTAGTATACGTCTAATTAGACCTAATCCGAACTACAATAACGGTAAGTGGCATCACGTACTGAATTTGACCCAGCATCCGTTGTTTGAGAACTGCATAGGTGTGATTGACGGCATGCACGTCAAAGCTATCTTGCCGCGGGACGAACGAGTAAATTTTATCGGAAGCAAGGGCATTTCAACACAGAATGTTCTTGTAGCATGTGATTTCAATTTGTGTTTCACATTCGTGCATGCAGGGTGGATGGGGACCACGCATGATTCCCTCATGTTGGCTCGGGCCATACATAGTCCCAAAATTGATTTTCCGAAGTCTGCCCCTGGAAAATATTATCTTGTCGATTCAGGATTTGTCCATAGACCTGGGTACATGGTTCCGTATAAGGGTTTAGATATATTGTATCATTTTCAGCAATTCTACGATGGTCAAACAGGTGCCAGACGGAACTTTTGCAATGCACATGAGAGATTTAACTTCAGGCATTCGTCATGTCGAAACGTTATTGAATGCGCATTTGGAGTGTGGAAAAGTGGATGGAAAATACTGGATCGTATGCCGAGTTACAATTTCAAAGTACTGACTGCTGTTGTCTTAGCGACAATGGGTATACACAACTTCCTCAGACGGGCAGGAGTTGTGGAAAAAGCGTTCACAAGAGCGGAGACAGATCCTGATGCGGCGGAGGTAGAACTTCCAGACGAGCAAGAACAAGCCGCTGCTGAATTTAATGCTCCAGAAATGCAACGAAATGAAAGGGATCGCTTTCGAGATTATTTGGCTCAACGTCATTGAACGCGTGTTGTCTTAACGATGTCGTCAGCGAACAATAATGTAGAACGTTTATTGTCCACTTCTTGTACGAATCGAAAATTAGGAAATAGGAGCTCATTCCGTTCGCTAATTATGTGACGCTACGTTAGTTCATTTGTGAAATATCTCGGCAAAATGTACGCAATCTTAAGTCTTTTATAAAAAATGACGTTCCAAAAAATGGTACGTTATCCATTTTTGTTGCATTTTTCAGTTTCACGCCTGGACAAAAAATTATTTCTAACTTTGAAAATGTTGTTGCCTTCGAAAAACGTGGAACAAATAAAGGCTGCAAGACTTGGATTTTTGGTCAAACTTATCTTCATTTTAGGACAGAGAAAAGCACAAAATTGAAATGCTGCAGAAGGTAAAGTGGTCAAGTTTGTTATTTTAAAAACATGCAAGAAACCGGCTGACAGCGGGACCACTTGACGTGACCGAAAAATCGATTTTTCTTGCTTGATAATTTCTAGCAGACGGGCACTATATATAGTTATATACATAATGTAACATCCATCAACCCAAAAGTCAAAAAGTCTCCGGTCAAAATGGTGAGAATTCAAAGATTAATTAAATCAATTTATGGTCTCTATCAATCAATCAATCACACCTTGATAACTTATATATGAATTTAACATTTTTGACTAATTAATTTAATAATGGAATTCAATTTGATGACGTGTAATTGTAACCATACCACATTGTTTTAAAATATTATTTTTATTTACATTATATATGATCATTTTCTTTCTATTCGATTAACTCGAACATAATTAGTTCAAAATTATTTTTCCTTGAGCCCATATTGTATTATTTAACACGAGCTACAAAATGAAAAATAATATCGATATATTTTTATCAATTTCTAAATTACTTAAATATTCAACCTACTAACTTATGATAAATTCTAAAAAGTATACGTAAGTAAATAATCATTATGCAAATAAGTGGGATGAGTTTATTACTTCAACTTTTGAACTTTAGTGTGACAACAAGACTAGACATGGACTATTTCATTTGCTAGATGACCATTATAAATTTAGCCCATATAAAAATATAATTAAAAAATTCGAGGTGTTACATTGACCGTCTGCGAACTAGTGTGTATTGGATTCGTATAGAAGTTTCGGTTTTAACCTTTTCTTTTTCAAATTTTTATTTAGTTTCTATTCGTATTTGAAGCCACTAAAATCCCATTCACGGTAATTCAAAAGTTTCATTGTGATGTTATTAATTGAGTAATAATTTAATGACGTAGCTATTATTTTCCTTTTTATAAAATGGAAGAAGTTTATGCATACCTTATATATAACCATATTTCAGCTTAGTTTTTGGGGAAAATAATACATTACTACAATGTTTACAGCTATAAATTTAATAACATTGAATACAAAATATTATAAACAATACATAACCTCGGAAAATTAACAGTTGTAACGAGAAGTTAATATAACGAATACCAAATGTTCATATCAAGAATAAAAAAACTTAAATAGAAAAGAAATGAAAAGTAAGTCTATTCAAACCAACTTATAAATATCTTTCACGTTTACGAATGAATTTGTCTCAAATTTACATACACATAGTTTTAACATTAATCAACTAATGTGCACTGGACATTCATCCTACTAGTGTTTTGAAACATATGAAAACCCGGGGGAAAAACAGTGGCAATATTACTATCACCGGGATTTTTTCACTATACTATTTTATTAGATTACATTTTGTCTCCCACCTATCTTTTTATTAAATATGGGCATTTAGGCCCTCAGGGCACATGTCCAAGTAGTAAAAGGGGAGGGTGGAGAAATCCAACTTTGCTTGAGGCTGTCGCGTCAAGGGTTCGAATCCTGAAATATGGATTTGGCTCTTGGGTAAGTGCAAGTGTACAAGCAGCCTTCCACCCTATACCCTTCGAGGCATAACCTGCGATTTACCTCTCTCACGATATTTCAGGGCAAGGGCGGTGGGGGACCCTTAAGGTTGGGGTTCAACCTTTATTAAATATGGGCATTTAGTGTTTCTTTGGGAATTGAGAGTGAATAGTTGAAGTGAAAAATGAATTTTCGAAGACCGCGTGGTTAAAAAGTAAGAAAAAATTATGACTCTTTGTATAAAATTATTCTATTCAAAGAATATGCAACCAAAAATGAGTTTAAGAAAAAATATTTTTCAAATAAGTTGTGTCTACAGATGCAGTAATGCAAAATGATTGTACTTCTCGACAAATATATGCAAAATTAACAAGGAAGAATTGAGTATTTAAGTGAACTAGAAACTCTCATCGACATCGAAGAAAATGTCTAGATAATTTAGAACTCCAGGAAAAAAATGAATATTGTGCGTGTAAACGCTCTAGGTACTTTCGTCAAATTTGTCTAATTTATCTAGAATACCTATATGGTAACAATGTCCAAGATAGAACAGTATATTTGTTAAAAATTCAAAAAAACAGAAAAAGAGAAGCGGTGATGCCACCAACTCCATCCAGTTTTCTATATTTCATATTACGTGCATTTGGCAACCTATATAATAAGCGAATAGATAAGCATTTCCCTATTACGATATTTTAGATGATCTCATATCACACTCTTATGCGACTTTTAATCGTTTCTTCAAGAAGCTATATCATGATGCTACTCTAGCAAGTTATCAATGGCCGCGACTTATTTAGTTCCCGACATATTTCTAAAGAAAAGCTGGTGATTTAAATATGAGCGGTTCTCATAATAAAGGAAAGCTATATTTTTTGCTAATTCTTTTATTTTTTTACACTAGCCGAACAATTCTTTTATCCATTTGAAATTTAAGACACTATAGTGTGTGCAACAATGCAAAAGCTCATGATCAAAGTAAAAAATGATTGAGTTAGTGTTTCGATTCAAGTTAGGAGAGAGAGTATCATTGAAAGACAGAGCACTGTATACCCTGACACATATATAATAGTGAGCTATTATTAAATTTTCGTTGTTTGCAGAATCATTTGCTTATAGACTTTGCGAGATAAATATAAAGTCTGGTAATGATTATTGTCTACAATTTATGTTTAGCCCATAATATGTAGGCAAAACATGTTAAAAATGAGTTATGTTCACTTCCATAGGCAGACTCAACCGTGATTTTATATGAGTAAAAAGAGTTGTTTAATTTTGAATGCAAACGAAGTCCTTATAAGCATCCTTTTACTCCCGAAAGATATTGTATGCAGAGTTGTGCATGAAATGGAGAAGATAGAAAGGATTTGAAAATTATTTACAGCATTTTAAGCTTTGAAAATTGCAATTTTATTAACAATCTTAAAGAAATGCAAAGAGAGAGTGAGATTTGAGTTTCAAAATAAGGTTTACAATAATGAATGTACATTCAATCCCTTACATGACATTCCATTTGTTTTCAAAAAATTATGGATAAGAAAAATTTGTTTTTAAAATTGTTCAACAATGTGTCACCATGTAGCACAATGTAAACAATAATGTAAAAGATGATATACATGTAACATGATTGTAACAATGTGTTTTATTGTCTAAAACTCCATTTCTCTTTAACTCTCTCCTAATAATAACTCGTCAAATCATTTTAACTTTACACCTCATCACTTTTTAAAGTGGATTTTGATACTTGTACATCGGGGTTGACCAACTCCTCACAACAGGAGGCCTACGATCAAATAAAAAAACCATGAGCCCTCCTGTTGTGAGGGGATTGGTACAATGGGGTGTCAAGAGTAGCAAGATCCTTTTAAAGTTCGATAATAAACAACACCTTTAACGACGTTAACCAATTGGGCATTCATGATCAAATTTATCTTATCTCCCTCAATCTTTCATAAACATTTCCTTTCGGTGACTTCCTCCCACACTTCCATTCAACGATTGACAAGTCTTGTTTACAAATCCATAAAATTCCCACCAAGAATTCCCAGGTTACGATATTCGCCAAGGAAGCAACGGGTTTAGACAAGGCTCGTTAGCATGAGGAGAGCCACATGAGTTTTATTTTGGAGCCGTGTAGTGTATAAAGAACCCGCACAAATGAGAGGTAACACGACTTTAGGACAGCGTTTTCGACATAACTCCAAAGCTTGCTTTCTTTCTAACCCTCTCCGTATGTTTATATTATTTTGAATCATGTTTATGTTTTTTTACGCACAAATCACCCAATTTTTTCAATAATCTAAAGTCGTGTTATGTGATATGTGTGTATCTTATTCATTTATCAATTGTGTAAGTAGTTATTTCAAGTTACAGGATTAAAAATTTATGTATAGTCCTTGAAAAAATGCACGTCAATAAGAATATCATGAAAACTGGTAATGGTTAATAGTCAGAAGAAAATAATAGGGGCATCCAGATTGATTCAACCATAGGTAAGTTATGAAATATCTAAGAGATTTAGAGCACTAAGTTTTTTCGAATAACTTAGTAAGGAACAAGAGTAGCTGCGGAATCCACCAACTGATGCAATTCTGGATTATATAAATTCAGATATGATTATTATAAAAAATAAAAAATAAAAAAATAAAATCTATTGCTTGTCTAATGTGCACTATGATGAAATCCTAAGATATTGTGTAGTTGATCATGATTGAGGTAAATTCCAGCTTTAGTTTGAATATAAATTCATCAAAAAAATTTATAATAATAAATAAAAATTGCTGGTTGTATTTTGTAGTCTCATAAACGGAAGGGCCGCTGGTAGGAAAATAATTTAGGGTCTGTTTGGGAACGATTTTTTCTCTCAAAAAATTTATTTTTTGACCGTTGGTTCACTATTCCATCCGTCATATTTGATTTCTTCTCTCACAAGTGGATCCCATTTTTCTCTTAACGGTCAAAAAATCAATTCTCAAAATCACTCCCAAACAGGCTCTTAGAGTGTTAGTTGCTAGATCGTTATATCTATGTCCTTTGAAGGGCATGAATCTTAGGATTTTCAATGAACCTTGGCGAATTGCATTTTAAGCTCTTTGTGATAAATCTGTT